AACATTCCACCGGCAAACTTTTCCTAGCTTTGTTATATCACATTATGCAACGCTAACAGCTTGAAAATTCCACTCAACTAGGTAATTTTTGTTAGTCTTGTTTAAGGTCAATGCTTTTTCCATTTAAAAATAAAGATAAAAGCCATATTTTTCACGCGAAAGCAACTTATACTTTACTGTAGCGCGGCGCCATGTTTGTTTTGTTTTGAAGCAATCTGTGACCGTTACTTCTTTAAACTAAATTGCTTTAAACTGATTGGTTGATTTAATCATCACAATGTTTTTCCAATCAGATCAGTTTGTTACAGATTTTTGCACTGTGATTACAGAAAATTGCACTGTGATTACAAAAAATTGCACTGTGATTACAGAAAATTGCACTGTGATTACAGAAAATTGCACTGCTGTTTGTGATTAACTGCACTGAAATCAACCAATCACAGTCGAGTAATATCTTTATGTATATTATTAAGTCCGTAACGTATAGAACACCTCTATAGCTTGCGTGGCAGGCGGTTTTTCTACGGGCAGGGAAAATAATTCGAATTTAGGGAGGCAAAGGAAAAACCTTCAAACTAGGTTTGAATTACCCGTCCACTGGTGAACGGAAAAAACCCGGATTGGTTAGTATTTTAGGCAGTTGTCAATCAACGTTAAAATGTTGATCATTAACCAAATGTTTTGACGTTTTGAAATTAGTTCACAGTCAGACCAGAAATGGAATACCATACTGAAAAGAAGCAAATTTAAAGATACAAGCTCAAAGATAACACTCTAAATAGTGTTACGTTTTTTATAGCTATTCGAACAAGACTATTACGAAGAAGATACGTCCGAATTAAGGGGCGGAAGTTATGATCGGCGAAAGGTATGGCTAGTCTTATATTTTCGTTCAGACAATTGCGTATTAAATTAAATCTCGCTTGACTCTCAAAGGCCATAAATCGCTATAATGTTGACATTTTACTAAAACTATCGATATAAATTAGGATATATTTCTTCACTGAATTGAACGATGGGATTGTCATCTATACATACATAGCACATGTACTGAACTAAAGATACGAACCTCCAAAGTACTGTAACCAGGACGACTATAGCTTCGACCTGGTTTAGGGCCACATAAAATAAAGTCCTTGATTTTCATCATCACTACAGTTGAAAATGTAGAAGAGGCGGTAGGTTTATATTTTATATTTATATAATTTATATATCAATATTACAATAAGTAAAAAAATAATTCCGAACTTTTTATTTTCTGTGATTTCCGAAGTGAAGTGTCACAAACCGAAATAAACATATTTCATTGCACATTTCTGTAATTTCCCACGTATCTCCACGACTGAATGACTGAACCCTTGAGGCTTGAACTGAATGCGAAGTTCCTTTACATAAAATGCAATGAAATTTCTTTCAAGATTCTGTTTGTTTGAAATTGGCGGTTTAAAATGGCACAAAAAACCCAATACAAAATATAAAAAACTTAACTGTCTTGAAGTGTTTCGTCGGGCAGTACATTTATATTGTATAATGGAACATAAAAAAATTTCATGAGTCGAATTTGATACAGTCGGGCGGTGATGCTAATCAAGGAATTTATTTTGTGGCCTGTTAAATGACCCTCAAACGAAAAAAAGAGTTTAACTAAAGTACAATAGGATGGGAGTGGCGGCTAATTTTGAATATTTACTTAATTAATGCATTTATAAAAATAGGTACGCTAGGCGTACATGCATCTGCGCAAAAGAATTCCATGGTTTCTATGAAAAAAATCATTCACAATTGTTGAGTAAACACTTAAATTTCGAAGTGACTATACAGCCGGCAGCCAGCTATTTAGTAAACTGCCGGCTATATAGTGACTGAGAAAAAATGCTAAATCAAACAAAACACAACCCGACACAGACTGCGTTTCACTTTCCGCACACAGTGCCTATACCATATACTCTAACGGCACGCTCGGTGAAAGCTAGCAGAAACAAAAGTTTTTTATATTTAACTATAGTCACTATATATAGCCGGCAGTTTATTAAATACCCAGCTGCCGGCTGTATAGTCACTTTGTTTATATTTGATATTTGATATTACATACAAAGAATGTTCAGATTGCAGTCTCTTCTCTACTGCAATCAACTGTCAGAAAGCCAGAATTTATGTTTATAATAAAAACAGAATAAGAGTTATATATGAAATGCATGGGTACAAAATTGCTGAGGTAAATACTGTGCCAGTGGCGGACACTAGGGGGGGGGGGG